TCCCTCCCTCCCTATCGTCTGTTTCCTTCGGCCGAAAAGCTCCCCTGTTCCCTGCCCCTGCTCCGCCCCTCCTCGTCCCCGGCCTCCGCTCCGGTAAGCGCCCCGAATCACATGCTTCTCCCTCCTTTCTTCGCCCGATTTTCGTTTGGGCCGCCCGCTCGTGTCTCCGGGTCTCGTGCGGGTCTGTGCTCGTTGCTTGTTCCCGGCCCGCGGATCTGTGGATCCTGGTGTGGTGAAACCATCATATATGTGTGGTTCCTGCTTCTTACCCGCCATGGGAGGGAGAAGATCTAGTGGTTCATGGGGTTTAGAGGCGTGCTGGTTTTGGGTCTGGAAAGTTAGGAAAAGATGCGTAGTTCTTGGTTGAATCTGGGCCGTCCAAGCTGTGCATAAGTTACCGCTATTTTATCAGATATTGTAGAATTTCGGTTAGCGTCTGGAGATGAGGATTAAGGAAATAAAAAAATTCCGTGGTCTTGATGGTCTATCCGTCCCACGCAGCTGTTACTGAGAATGGCCCTACTGCTGTCCTTTCGTGATGAAACGTTTATTACTTGTAGGAGTCAATCGGGGCACCTCTTCCGTTAGTTTTTGCTGTCCGGTGAATTTGCTTTTGAGTTAACCGTGTAAGGTTCATGAGATTAGCATCTTGCGATTCTTATCAGTTCTGGATGAAAACCCTACGAACAGTACGGAGCACTGTGCGACATGAGAAATGAATAGTGTGCAGCATGGGGCCCTAAACTATGACGATAAAGTGTCAGCAATTATGCTATGCATCGCTTTCTTTCTTAAGAGTCACCTACCCAATCAGAGTACCCTGTCCTAGCTAAGCACGAATTTTCCCTTTCTGCATTATGATGGCTCCGCAACGCTGCCCGTACCATCCCCCAAACAATGCTCATGCAAAACTCGTGCGAGCACTTGCTCTCTACGCGTCACCCACCTAATTTAGGCCACTCTTGGCCGGTGCCCATGTGATCCGGGATCCAAATTTCCACCACCTACTTGTCTCACCAACCTCCGGAATTTACTTGTGTTTGCAGCTCTCGGTAATTGGATGGCCTCGCCTACGACGCCGACGAAGTCCACCGGCGCCCAGGAGGAAGCCGCGGCCCGCCAGTCGCTCATCGGGATCTCCCAGTCCATCCCGGCGGCGGGAGAGGCCCTGAGCGTCAAGTCGCCGAACGGCCGCACGGAACACGGGCAGGACGACAGCGGGGCGGCCGACAAGTCCAGGTCGATGCTCATGTCCATCTCCAACCAGTCGCCGGAGGCGCGCCAGCCCACGCCGTGCCCGCACAGCAATGCCGCTTAGGCTTAAGCTTGATCTTAGTCCTGTAATAGTACTGATTAGCCCTGCAGCTGCAGCTGTCCATATGTTGCAGGCTCTTGTGTGGCGCCCCTAATAATCGCCATGTTCCTGGGTTTTCGGTGATGAAATGATATGCAGTCTGGAATACTGATTACATAGTTATTACCTGCATGCGATGCGAGTCTGGTGTTGCTTCGATCTTGGTGTGGATGTCGTGTATTCGCCGTGGCCTGAGTGTGGTGCCATCGTCGCTCACCGGTGGATGTATGGCTCCTTGCGATTTCGTTCGTTTGATAATGTTAGAAGGGAGAGAGAGATTGTTGCGGAATTGTTCATTGTATTGCTTGAGCCTCGTGGGCATGTAGGAGTATATGATTATCTTGGAGTACAAAGCAAGGTAGAATAATATCTTACGCTATTTTAGCTTTTCTAATAATCACGATACTCAACATCCCTTCACGGTCACAACGGTAGCGACGTAAATGGGGAGACTGAAGAAGAATCCGAAGGGAAGCCGACGGACACCACAATCGTAACGGTCGATGCATCGCGGAGTCGTAGCTGGAGTGGAATCCGATGAGGTTGCTCAAGCAAGGCGGTAGCCCTTTGTGCCGTTTGTCGAGATAGCCGAGAGCGTAGGTGGTGTAGCTGTAGTCGAGGTAGCCGTGCGAAGAACGTCGTGGTCGGTGTCGAGTCAGGGGTCGCCGTGGAGCCGCGGAAGAAGAGAAGCGGCAGCGGCGGCCTAAGGAGGCGGTGGAAGCGGATAAAGAAGGAGCGCGACAGCGGTGCTCGAAGTAGGCGATAATGAACCCGACAGCGTGACGAAGACCGGCACGGATGACGTTCCCGCGCAAAGGGAGGCAGCGCAACGCATATCACGTGGAAGTCGACGCGCGTGGACGACGGTGGACCAGGGCCGCAGCGCTACGGTCCGAAGGGGCAACGGAGCGACGGCGGGCAGGACGGGGCGACGGCGGGGAAGACCTCAGGCCGGTTGCAGGGATCGCGTGACACGCTCGCTACGGCCCGACGGGGCGACGCAGTGGCAATGCGAGGATCGGTGCAGCCTCAGGGACGGCTTCGGTGTAGCGGTTGACCACGGGCCGCGGCACTACGGTCCGAAGGGGCGACGCAGCGGCAGCGCGCGATATGGTGCAACCACGGGAACAGCCTCAAGGCGGCGGGGACCACGTGCCGTGGCGCTACGGCCCGAAAGGGCGACGCAGCGGCGACGTGGATCGATGCAGGCACGGGAAGAACCACGGGGCTGGGGCGACGCAGCGGCAGCCCATTGCTCGATCGGTGGAGGGGCGCGCTGAATTCAGGGACAAGGTGGTGACGGTCGACGAGCAAGCCGACGCGCGGACGACGGCCGTGAGGGGCCTCCTATCGCGCGAGGCCACCAGGTCAGGGCGACGGGAGGGCAGACGCACAGACAACGACTGTTAGGGGACGCCTGTCGCGCGAGGCCGCCGGCCGTGCCTGTGTCAGAGTAGAGGCGCACGGGGATCGACGGCGGCGGGCAACGCAAACCAATCAAGCATAGATCAAAAAATCAAAAAGAAAAAACGCCGATCAAAACGACCGGTGAGAGAGCGAAAAAACCGGGAGCAAGGGCTCGGGAAAAAGACTCTTTAGGACAGCCGGCCAACACGACCGGCGGACGAATCATAGGTACGAGTGGCGTAGCCCCCGGTGGCGGTCATGGAGACCGACTGCCCCAGGGGCGGCGCGCTGGTGTGGAAGCGGCGGCGGATTGGGTTTAGAACCCGAAAACCGATACTATGTTAGGGGAGAGAAAGAGATTGTTGCGGAATTGTTCATTTATTGCTTGAGTCTTGTGAGCATATATATAAAAATACATGATTATGTTGGAGTGCAAGACAAGATATAATAATATCCTACGTTATCTTAGTTTTTCTAATAATCACAATACTCAGCAGATAATTAACATGTATTGGTCGTCCTACAGTCCATCGGATTCATTAATTAGTTGTTCAGACATGGATCTCCATACAAAGCTCGTCAACGGCGAGTAAAAAGCATAATAAAACATCACACTTGCGAAGCAGATACCGTTTGCCACCACTTTGAAAAAAAAAACAATGCACCAAACGTAATTCTATTTTTTGCAAAAAACATTGTTAGGCTGAGTTGGCGGAAAAATTGCCACATGAAAACGCATTCAGCGCTCGATCAATGTTTTCTGCAAAAGATTAGAGTTGTGTTCGGTGCATTCCTTTAATTCTTTAAGAAAAGTGATGGCAAACGGTATCTGCTGTCGTAATTATGATGATATTATGCTTTTTTTCACTTCGCTGACGCAGATGAGGAGAAAACATGGGGTCTTCACGTGAAGCAAAAACAACGCGAGGATTGTCAATAGATGTCTACAATCGCGCTAATTTTCTACTCCCTCCGTTTCAAATTACTCGTCGGAGAAATGGGTGTATCTAGAACTAAAATACATCTAGATACATCCATATCTGCGACAAGTAATTCGGAACGGAGGGAGTAAAAGCCAAATCCGATCCAATCATCTAAAAACAGAAATGCCAAATGGCATTTGTAACTATGAGCAAATCCTGCTTGTGCAGTAAGACATTCACCAACAATTCACTGCCGTTTTGTTTTCTCATCGTGTGATTTGAACAGACCGGCTCCGACGATGGAGAGGCAGCTACTCCAATGTTCCATCTGCTCGCTTGGGGGAAGAAGACGATCCCTCACCCCCACCCCATTGCTCCCCTTGCGCGGATCATGTTCAGTTATCAACATACCAGGACACCAAGGTTCCTTTGAGGCATAGGGGTGCTTTCTAGTCCGATCCCACCACGATAAGTTATACTAGGAGGGTGTGTGTGGTGTTGTTTAGGAATATATCTATCGGGCAACATTTTCCATCTAAGATGTATTCATAACTTTTGAAGTTTATATACATTTATTATCATTTCATGCATTACTCTACAAAATTTGGAAAGATGTACACTATTATGTCATAGTGTAGATTTGCATGTTTTTATGTCAGTGATTTTGTAATCCTTTCCAAACTCCAAGAAATCTACAAAATACCAGGAAACGATTTTGAGATGACGAAGACCTGCCATAGTAGAGGGCCAGGGGAGAGATATGGGGCCCAATATAGGCACGCCATGGAGCCATCCTCCCGGCTTGAGGTGACGGACTAGGCAATGTTGGAAATATGCCCTAGAGGCAATAATAAAATGGTTATTATTATATTTTCTTGTTCATGATAATTGTCTATTGTTCATGTTATAATTGTGTTATCCGGAAATTGTAATACATGTGTGAATACATAGATCACAACATGTCCCTAGTGAGCCTCTAGTTGACTAGCTCGTTGATCAATAGATGATTACGGTTTCCTCACCATGGACATTGGATGTCGTTGATAACGGGATCACATCATTAGGAGAATGATGTGATGGACAAGACCCAATCCTAAGCATAGCACAAGATCATGTAGTTCGTCTGCTAAATTTTTTCTAATGTCAAGTATCATTTCCTTAGACCATGAGATTGTGCAACTTCCGGATACCGTAGGAATGCTTTGGGTGTGCCAAACGTCACAACGTAACTGGGTGGCTATAAAGGCACACTACGGGTATCTCTGAAAGTGTCTGTTGAGTTGGCACGAATCGAGACTGGGATTTGTCACTCGTGTGACGGAGAGGTATCTCTGGGCCCACTCCGTAAGACATCATCAAAATGAGCTCAATATGATCAAGGAGTTGATCACGGGATGATGTAAAACAGAACGAGTAAAGAGACTTGCCGGTAACGAGATTGAACACGGTATAGGGATACTGACGATCGAATCTCGGGCAAGTATCATACCGGTAGACAAAGGGAATTGTATACGGGGTTGATTGAATCCTCGACATCGTGGTTCATCCGATGAGATCATCGTGGAACATGTGGGAGACAACATGGGTATCCAGATCCCGCTGTTGGTTATTGGCCGGAGAGATGTCTCGGTCATGTCTGCATGATTCCCGAACCCGTAGGGTCTACACACTTAAGGTTCGGTGATGCTAGAGTTGTTATGGGAAATAGTATGTAGTTACCGAATGTTGTTCGGAGTCCCGGATGAGATCCCGGACGTCACGAGGAGTTTCGGAATGGTCCGGAGGTGAAGATTTATATATGGGAAGTCATCATATGGTCACCGGAAGTGTTTGGGGGTTTGTCGGTATTGTACCGGGACCATCGAAAGGGTTCCGGGGGTCCATCGGGAGGGTCCACCTGCCCCGGAAAGCCCTATGGGCTGTATGTGGAAGGGAACCAGCCCCTAAGTGGGCTGGGCGCCATCCCCCTAGGGCCCATGCGCCTAAGGTTGGGGGAACCCTAAAGGGGGCGCCCCCATTGGCTTTGGGGGCAAGCCCCCTCCCCTTGGCCGCCCCCCCTCTAGATCTCATCTAGAGGGGCCGGGCCCCTTCCCCCTTCACCCTATAAATAGAGGGGTGGAGGGAGGGCAGCAACACCACATTCAAGGCGCAGCCTTCCCTCTCCCAACACCTCCTCTTCCGTTGAGCTTGGCAAAGCCCTGCCGGAGAACTGCGAGCTCCACCACCACATCGTCGTGCTGCCGGAGATCTTCAACAACTTCTCCTTCCCCCTTGCTGGATCAAGAAGAAGGAGACGTCTTCGGGCTGGACGTGTGTTGAACGCGGAGGCGCCGTTGTTCGGCACTTAGATCGGAATCAACCGCGATCTGAATCGATGCGAGTACGACTCCTTCATCCACGTTCTTGTAACGCTTTCGTTTCGCGATCTTCAAGGGTACAAAGATACACTCCCCTCTCTCTCTATGACGCCCCCGATTTGACCGTACACTAATCATACACGCAAACGTGTACGATCAAGATCAGGGACTCACGGGAAGATATCACAACACAACTCTACAAATAAAATAAGTCATACAACCATCATTTTACAAGCCAAGGGGCCTCGAGGGCTCGAATACAAGAGCTCGATCATAG